AGACTCCTTAGGGTAGCAATAAAGTGGGATATCAAATCCAAACTCTTCTTCTTCTTCTTGAATCCTGTCGAGGCAGAGGCACTGTGATGAAATGGTTCCCATGTCCCTCTGAAGTTGCACAGTTTGCGGGTGCTTCTGAATCCAGCTCTTTCACTGGAGGCCCAGGCAGCCTCCGTGGCTAGAAGTGCCTTTTTCCAACTGCAAGTGGCATGTATCAAGGGAAATAGCTTATAAAAATGTACTTATCAGGGGAAATTGCATATAACTAATGTATTCATTAGGGGAAATTTGCACTAAAATGCTGATGGATTTACATGTGAACATTGTTTTTTAAATGTAAAATCTACAAACTGATGTGGAAATGAGAGGAACCGAACTTAACATTGGAAAACTGAGAGAAACTGGATTTGTTCGTCCTTAACTGAAAGTGAAGACAACTGAGGCCAATGTCTGGATGAAAGTGAAGGCAATGTCACCAGAGTGGAAACTACCTTTCCTCTTGCCCTCAGTGACCCAGACAGTGAGCATCTGCTTCTACGTGAATGGCCACACCCTTTTCATTGCACGCCTCCACTTGGGTGCACAGGAATGTGGCAGAATCCTGTGAATGAGTTTTGTATATAATAACAATGCTGTTTCAAAGAACTACAATAACGAGCGAGAGAGGCTGTGTTGCATTATCTGGGGAATTGCCTATTTGTTTCCTACCGTTAACACTCAGCGTGTTACAAAATGCACGGACAATAAATTCCTCCACCAGTTGATGGACTCCCAAGAGCTAATAGATTATTTTGTAATGTGAGGGTAGCATTTAAAAAACGGCACACTGGCCTGCCAACATTTGGGAGGGGGAGGAGGGGGGGGGAAGGGATTGCTATCAAGTGCTGTTTAATTTAATTTCATAAATAATAGGGTATTTATAAAAAGAGCTGTAACGCCAAGTGTTACCAATTTCCCCGCATACAATAATATGATTTGCACAAATGTTTGTCCTTGAGGCAAGCAGAATACATTTTACAAATCAATCCTTCTGCTGAGTGCAATTAGCACCCGCCAAGGCAGACGGCCGTACCTGTAGAGGAATTTCTCTCACATTTTCTCCACCCCGCCCCACATTTTGATCGCTAGGGAAACTCCATCAAGCACAAGAAAGCAAGCAAGGAAAGGGAAATGTTCCAGGCACCCAAGAGCAATTCATTCTAATCAGGCCAAAGTGGGTTTTAGTGGCCCATTTGATGTGACTTTTATGCACGACTCCAAGCCTGCCTCCAAAGGGGGCTGGCGGAAAGGTCACAATTGCTGCATAAAGTGAGAGAGGGAAGAAATGCATTTTAAACAAAACAAGGGTTGAAAGAGAGGGAAAGAAAGTATCAGTTGGCATGGAGGGGGTAGAATATATTCACAATGTGTTGTTTATCCAGCTAAGTTTTACTTAGAGTAGACCTACTGAAATTAATAACCCATGTTAGTCATGAGCATTCATTTCAGTGGATCTGCTCTGAGTAAAAACATAGTTGAACACCATCCTAATCTTTGTTGGAGCAACAACTGCCACCCGAAGGAGCTCTCCCAGGTCCTGAAAGGTGGTAAACTTCTTTGTCTCTTGCTTGTTTCCTCTTGTTTGATTTCTGATTCCAGTTGCTTCTGTTCCAGGTCCAATTTTTGCAGACTCACAGCCTGAGCCAAACAGAACACCACGTGTTATGAGGTAGGTATCCTAAGAGATCATCTACTCCATCCCATCAGTGATGGTACAAATCCACCCACTGCAGCATTCCTCACAGATGACTACCCAGCTTCTACTTAAAAACCTCTAATAAATGAGAGCTGACTACTTTCCAAGGCTATTATGTTCCATTGTCCAACAGTATGTGTTATCCAGAGGTTTCCCCAATGTTTCAGCTAAGTTCCATTTCTTCTCATCTGAAGATAGCTATCCTGACCTCTTAACCACCACATCTCCTTCCCTCAAAGAACTTCACTTTAAGGCACCTCAGCATCTTCCTCTGGACACGTCACACTTTGTCAGTATATTTCTATTGCAGACCACAGAACCACTATAGCTCGGTGGCAGAGCACATAGAAATCACAGGATTGTAGAGTTTGAAGGGACCCCAATGATCATCTAGTCCAACCCCCTGCAATGCAGGAATATGCAGCTGTCCCATATGGGGATCAAACTTGCAGATTTGGCATTATCAGCACTGAGCTAACCAACTGAGCTATCCAGGCTGAGAGCTTAACAATATTTCAAGGGCTACAGGTTCTTCCTCCCTGAGCTAAAAAAGATTGGGCAACAGGTTATGCTAAACTTCTCCTCTGCTAGTTACCTTTGAGAACTGCTGCCAGTCAGGGTAGACAATATAGAGCTAGATGGGTCAATGCTATGACTCATTATAAGGCATCTTCCTGTGTTCTTAACTCTGCACCCCAGCCATTATATTGGGAAAAGGCCATAAATCAAAGGTAGAGCATCCTCTTTGTTTTCAGAAAGCTCCAGGTTCAATCTCTGGCACCTCCAAGGAGAGACTCCCTGTGTGAAATCCTAGAGAGCTGCTGGAAGCACTGAACTAGATGGACCAATGGTCTGGCTCTATATAAAGCTACTGCTGCTTCTCCTCCTCCTCCTCCTCCTCCTCCTCCTCCTCCTCCTCCTCTCTTTCTCTTATGGCTCTGCTCCTTTGACCCATTGTTCTGTTAGGTATTTTTAGAATATGGACTTAATAATCTTACAGCACAAACACATACAACTTGCTCTCTAGAGAACAGCATCAATCTGATGAATTATCTTTCCAAGAGTCTTTAGACCAGGACCCTTCAAATGTTGCTGAACTACAATTCCTATTAGCTGGTTAATGATCAGGCATGATGGGAATTGCAGTCCAGCCATAGGCGCCAAGTCCCTGGGGGCCCGAGCACCTCCAAAATTCTCCATGAAGGGGCTGGGAACCCACAAATGTTTGGTGCCAGGGCCATGCATGCTGCATGGCACCCACGGCCCTGGGCACCCATGGTTGTGGGGCCAAGTTGGCACTCCTGAGTCCAGCAACATCTGGAGGGCCACAGGTGCTTTATCCTTGCTTTAGAAGATAATGTGTATTACTCCACTTACCTCAAAATGTGGTGGGCAGGCTGACAGTAACCCCCCTCAATACTCGTCCTGTTGAGTACAGCCCTAGATATCTGAGTCCTACCCCAAGTCCTGCCCTAAGAAAACCATTGAATGCGTCAGGGAGACAGCCAGCAATAAATCATACAGAGTATGTGAAGTTAACTCTTTATTATCAGAAGCAAGGCCTGCTCAGAGGAGCCAGGCCTAATGAGCATGGCAACTTTTCTCAGTAGGTCTTGCTCCTATGCGGCAGTTGCAGAGGCTGAAGATCCCCACCTTCCCACAATTGCCTAAATCTCCCCCTCCTCTGGGTCCTTCCCAAGCAATCTGAGACTCTGCTGATGTGCCTGTGTCTGCTCCTCCCCCTTCATACCTCTTCTGGTCCAGGGTGACGGGGTGTGTGTGGAGCTTGTCACAGCAGAAGGGGAAGACATTATGGCTTCTTCTACAGCCTGACTCATTTCTGCCTCATGGCATCCCTCCTCTCTTGCTTCAACTTCTGATTCTGATTATGGACCTCCCTCTGCCACAGACTCCCTGTCACTAAACCTTTTTACCACTTCAGCTTCCAACACCTCCTTTCCCTGGGCTCTGCCTTCTTCTCTCTCTTCTCCCTCTGACCACACATAGTTGTCCCATCACTGCTTCCCGGGCTCTGAGCCTTCTCTTAGAGGTTCCCCACTTGGTGCCTCCCACCATTCCTGTGGTGCCTTAAACAACAAAAAATGAGCAAATGAAGCTTTTCCAGGCATGGGGCAGAAGGGATTGGACCTGAAAGATTTTGCCAAGGAGGGCCAGTAACAGATTTTGCAGTGAAGGGAGAGCAGTGAATGATGTCCTCTGGTGGATTTCCGAGTGCTAGGTTTGGGGAATGGAATCAGGGCATCTAGGAGAATTTGGCCTTTTCCTGGCTTTGTAGACCCAAACACAGTTACAGAATTATATTGGGTTTCATTCATTGGACTGATAAAATACTGCCATATTTGCAATCCTATATGGGCATTGGTGGGGGAAGAAATTTAATTCCTTTCACATTTAATGATGAACCTACCTAATTCACAGTACAGTGGACCCTCTGGATATGAACTTAATTTGTTTCAGGGGTCCGTACATACCCCAAAAGTCCGCAACATGAGGCACCGCTTCTGCACACATACGCGGCACGATAGAGCACTTCTGCACATGCGCACATGGCAAAACCGCATTCACAACCCAAAAGTTATGTTACCCAAAGGTAATGTAACCCGAGGGTACACGGTACAAAAACCAGAACATCAAAATCCACCAAACTGCACACTGCTCCAAATTGTGCAAGGCAGTCCTCCATCTAAGCCATATATACAAAAAAGTATATACTAGGGTAAAGCATGCATTAAAATGCCTATATTAATGAAAACAGAATACAAAAATGCATCTAGGGGAATGCTTGGTTAAGAAAATGGTGCATTAGACAGGGTGGGGGGGATTTGCATTTAATTTACACTAAAATGCTGATGAAATTTTATGAGGACTTCCCCCCCCAAAAAACTGATATGGAAACGTGGAAAACTGGATTTAAGCCTGAATGAATGAGAAACTGAAATTGATGAATTCACTATTTTCCCCACCCGCAGGTAGCAGCCCATGACTTTACTACCACCCCGAAAACAAAGGAGGGTGGAGAGTGGGAGCTCAGTGAGAGGGGGGCATTCTGGCACATGGTGTTGCTGCTCATCTTCCCTGCCCCCGGGGTGGGAAAGACCAAGGCCTTGCAGAACACCCCCTCTCACCAAATTCTAGCTAGAGGGGGTGATTCCATTGGCACCAGAAATGGTGGGGAGGTCAGGGGGTGGCAGAGAGACAAGGGGGCAGGAAGTGGCACATTCCCCTTTTGCCAAATGGGCTGGGCTGTCCCTGGTGCTGAGGGTTGAACTTTGGACTTTCTGCTGCAAGGCAGATGCTCTACCACTGAGCTATGACCCCTCCTCACAAGTATTCAAATCTGGCTCATAATAACTTCTGTTCATAGTCATTACCAACACACACTCCTGCTTACCAGCAAGATCCATGGTAGGGGCCTGATGTTTCTAATTCCCCACCCCACCAGAATTTCTTCTTTCTATTCTCCAAATGAGCAGCCACACTGACAGCAATGGGTTCATTGATCTTGGGTTGTTTGCCTGTCTCCCTTAACAAAGAGGAGGTTAATTTATCATTGGGTGGAGAAAGAGAATCTCCAGCCTCTTAAGAGCTTCTTTCTTCTTGCTCTTAATTAAACAAAAACAAGCAAGCAAGCAAGCAAGCAAACAAACAAACAAGGATTTCTTGAACTTTAGGAGGGTTCACAAATGGTGCCTGTCACTTGATTGTAGCTGATGAACTGGCAGCTTAATGTGTGGACAGCCTGCTGAAAAGCAGTTTACACAAGGCAATGGACAGAACAGTGTCATCCCCCTGCCCAGTCAGGATTTTGCTGGCTTGACTATAAAGTTACCCTCCTGACCAATTGCCAGAATTAAGGCCCCACATGCACTATTCATTTAAAACAGAATTGTCACAAGCTCCTTTTTTTTTTTTTTTAAGCAAGCTGTTACAGAAATGTGGGGAACTGAATTCAGCACTAGGGAAAAGAGACCCTGAAAGAAACCAAAGTTGACAGATTAACTCATCCCTAATTTAAAGCTGGGACACGGGTAGCGCTGTGGATTAAACCACAGAGCCTAGGGCTTGCTGATCAGAAGGTCAGCAGTTCAAATCCCCACGACAGGGTGAGCTCCCTGCTCCTGCCCACCTAGCAGTTCGAAAGCACGTCAAAGTGCAAGTAGATAAATAGGTACCGCTCCAGCGGGAAGGTAAACGGCATTTCCATGCGTTGCTCTGGTTTGCCAGAAGCGGCTTAGTCATGCTGCCCACATGACTCAGAAGCTGTACGCTGACTCCCTCGGCCAGTAAAGCGAGATGAGCGCCGCAACCCCAGAGTCGGCCACGACTGGACCTAATGGTCAGGGGTCCCTTTGCCCTTTACCTTTAATTTAAAGCTAGAAAACTTGCAGAAATGGCAACCAAAATGTTGAGGACAATGACCTGAAGAGGCTAATCTGTGACTAAGGGTGCAATTCTATACTCAGGATCTACTGACTGAATAAGAGACATTCCTACTTGGAAAATGAAACCAAGGCCCCAACTGCATTCTACATTTTGAGCAGTTTTTACCACTTTAAGCAGTCATGGCTTTCCCAAAAGCATCCTGGGAAGTGTAGTTTGTTAAAGGTGTTGAGCTCACAGAACTACAATTCACAGAGTTCCCTGGGAAGAGGGATTGATTCTTATGCCACTCTGTTGAGCCACTATGTAGTGGTTGCTGAACCTCAGAACTGCCTGGTTTGGAATATGAATTTTCTCTACATCATTATGCCTCTTATCTTGTTTGCTCTAAGCCACTGCTCTTCAACCTTCGGTCCCCAGACGTTACTGGACTACAGCTCTCATAATCGTTGACCATTGGTTAGGCTGTCTTGGGATGGTGAAAGTTGTAGTTCAACAACCTCTGGGGACCCAAGGTTAAAGAACACATCTCTAAATCCTGTCAGTGCCCAAATCCTCACCCAAAGTGAAGGTGAAGCATTATAGGTGCAGACCCTGATAACACAGCTGTCAACTTTTCTCTTTTCTTGCGAGGAATCCTATTCGAAATAAGGGAATTTCCCTTAAAAAAGGGGAAACGTTGACAGCTATGCCTGATAATGGAACAGTTCCTCATAAAAAACAAATGTAAATAAATCCTGCACATAGAAATCTAGCAGGTCAGGGGGAAAGGCTAGGTTGGAGCTCTTCTCCCTGACACCTAAACTTAATGTGTGGAAGGGTTTGTTTGTTTGTTTTTTTGTTTGTTTGTTTGGACTAAGGAGCATTCAAGTCCTGCTGTACCACAATACCAATTTAACATAGGTTGCCCTCCTCACTTTCTGTTAGTGAGGCCCAAGCCATGAGCAAATAAAAAACAAAACAAAGAAACTCAGGGAAAGATGCCCTGTTCTTTGTGTCTGTCAATTGAATATGCTCATTGGAAAAACACCAAAGTCATCATCATCATCACCATCATCATCATCATCATCATCATCATCATAATACAGTCGTACCTCAGGTTACATACACTTCAGGAGACTGGGAGGAGATACAATTGCCATGGAGGATGGAGCAAGCTTGTTTTCTCCTGCTCCAGACTCAAACCATTGGATTCAAGTTACAGTGGTACCTCAGGTTACATACGCTTCAGGTTACATATGCTTCAGGTTACAGACTCCGTTAACCCAGAAATAGTATCTCGGGTTAAGAACTTTGCTCCAGGATGAGAACAGAAATCGTGCTCCGGCAGCGCGGCGGCAGCAGGAGGCCCCATTAGCTAAAGTGGTGCTTTAGGTTAAGAACAGTTTCAGGTTAAGTACGGACTTCCGGAACGAATTAAGTACTTAACCTAGGTACCACTGTAATAATAATTTATTTATACCCCTTCCATCTGGCTGGGTTTCCCCAGCCACTCTGGGTGGCTTCCAACCAAATATTAAAAAAATACAGCATCAGACACTAAAAACTTCCCTAAACAGGGCCGCCTTCAGTTGTCTTTTAAAAGTAAAATAGTTGTTTATTGCCTTGACATCTGCTGGGAGGGCGTTCCACAGGGCAGGCGCCACTACCGAGAAGGCCCTTTGCCTGGTTCCCTGTAACCTCACTTCTCGCAGCGAGGGAACCGCCAGAAGGCTTGGCCCCGGTCAGAGGCAGAAATGCTTCTGAATTCCCGTTGTTGGAAACAGCAGGAGGGGAGACTAATCTAGAGCTCATTTAGTTTGCTGCTACGAGAACAGGATGCTGGACTAGATGGACCACTAGCCTGATCTAGCAGGCTCTTCTTATATTCTTATGTTCTTGGCCGTTGAGTCCAAAATTCATCTCAAAGAGTCCTGAGGGGAAACCCAGCAAAGCACAGCAGCAACAGCAATAACAACAACAAAACCCTTATTGAGAGACGGAGCAACTTGAGGCAATCCCCCGCACACCCACCTGTCTGTAAAATAAATGAGGTGGGGATAGTCATCCGGTGCGCGCCTTCGCTGAGACAGACAACCCTGGTCCCTCTCATGGAGCCGTCGAACTGGCATTAAACAGACAAGACAAGCTTTGCAGTCAGTTATCGGCCAAAAATATAATGAAGAAACAAGTTGGTGGAGCACAGCTGAGTCACCCGGACCAGCCAAGTGGAGAATTTAATTTCTTCCAAGTTCTTCTGGCAACGAATAATCTCTGTGGTTGCAGCCCCTGTGACTGCGTGATCATTGACAGCTCTGACCCACTAGGGGTGAGAGTCTGCCATCATTCCCTCTCACAATTACATGGGGGGAACAGGGGGAGGCTGGGGTGGGAGCAAGCTAAGAGGGGCAGAGCAGAGAGCAAGGAGAGAGGGATTTTCTGGATCTCTGGAGCCCGTGATTTACAAAATCCAGGGACACAGTTCCTTGGTTGCTATGAGGTAATCAGAGCTGTGGTAAGCTTTTTCTTTCTTTCTTTCTCTTTTACTGCTGGGAAAAGGGGACATTGACCATTAGAGATGTAAGAAGGCATTGTTTTCTATTCTGCCCTGCATTTGCCACATGCAGCACTGTTTCTGTTCTGCTTCAGTTCATCTTCCACCAAACCCTCATTACATAATATATGCAACTTACATAATTAATTATGTGATTTACATTGCTATTCCACCTCATTCCTTTTGGTGCAAAGGAAATGCAGTGTAAATGGGGTGTGCGTGTGTGTGTGTAATCAATTATGTATCACTTGCGGACTGAAAGCCACAACAACAGCAAATGCTGATCCTATTCATTTGATCTATTTCTCTTCTGGGCGCAAGAAAAATAGCAAACAATCTCTGCTCCCTTTCTTGTTTTTGGTGGAATTCTCTGACATCCTTAGAGACCACAAAACATGTTACACTATTGTTTTCTAAACCATCAAACCAGGCTGACCTTCATCCAGACTCCCAAGAAGAAAGAAAGAAAGAAAATGGTTCTTCATTGTAGTTCTGATATGGTAGTTGTAGTCCAACCTCTCTCTTCCCCTAAGAACCCATGAAGCACAAAGGTCCATCTAGTAACATAGGAAGCTGTCTTATACCAAGGCAGACTATTGTCCACATTGACCAGGGTTTTAGGCCGGGGAGTCTTTCTCAGCCCTACCTAGAGTTGCCATTGGGGATTGAACCTGGGACCTTCTACATGCAAAGCAGATGCTTTATCACTGAGCTATGACAATTCCCCACGACCAGACCCTTCTAGTCTAGGATTCTACAGTTTCCACTAGATGTCTTCAGGAAGCCCATAGGCAAGGCAAGAAGGAACAAGCCCTCTTCTTTTGTCTGTCCCTGGCCAATGGCATTCAGATATATGTGACTTCTGTGAATGAATTGATGGGTAGCTATCAAACCCTCAGCTGCAACCCAGCGCTGGATTTTGCTTGCTTGTTTTGTGTAAACAATAGTAAGCAGATTGGTAACCTTCTGACATCCATGTAACAGTTTTGGGTGGGGCAAGAGGCAATAATGGGTGGAGCAATAAATGCAAATTTTATATTCACATGGTAGGTTGTTTTCTTTGCATATTCACACATACTCTTCTCTGAGCTCTGTCCAGGCAAACAAGAGGCATGATCAGAGTTCAAGGACACATTCCAGCCAGGCAAAAATATTCCACTTGGGTGCAAAGCAGGGCTGGTGAGGGGTGTGGCCTGAGGAGAAGGGGTGTGGCTTGGGGAGTATTCCAAGGGCCAGAGAGAGAGGGCTGGAGGGCCACAATCAGGTCTGAGGGTCCTCCCTGCTGTTATATAGGAATTCAAACCTAGTAAGAGCACAGTGTCCCCTTCATGGATCACTGCCTTGCCGTGGTGAAGGGGCTTGAATAACTCAGAGAAGCTATGAGCTATGCCGTGCAGGGCCACCCAAGATGGACAGGTCATAGTGGAGAGTTTTGGCCAAACGTGATCCACCTGGAGCAGGAACCAGCAAGCCACTCCAGTATATCTGCCAAGAAAACTCCATGGACAAAGACAACAGGCATATAAAAGTTATGACGCTGGAAGATGAGCCCCTCAGGTCGGAAGGCGTCCAACATGCTACTGAGGAAGAGTGGAGGACAAGTACAAGTAGATTCAGAGCTGATGAAGCGGCTGGGCCAAAGCCGAAAGGACACTCAGTTGTGGATATGCCTGGAAGCGAAGGGAAAGTCCAATGCTGTAAAGAAAAATATTGCATAGGAACCTGGAATGTAAGAACCATGAACCTGGGTAAGTTGGAGGTGGTCAAAAATAAGATGGCAAGAATTGACATCCTGGGCATCAGTGAACTAAAATGGGTGGTTATTCTGCAAAGAGTAAGGTAAAGGAGGAAAGCCTTCTTGGAGAAGAGAATATGAACAAAGGAGGGAGCTTAGAGTAGCTGACTCAGCACCCCTCAGCTGTGCATCCCCGTCCCCCATCGATTCTGATCTACAGAATGACTTGCCATGCGATTTCAATACATAGCTTTTGGAGACTGTTAGGCTAAATGAGAATGGGAGGGAGTGGGAGTAATTGCCTTCACCACCTTTGAAGAACTCCAGATCTATAACTTGGGAAAATATAATTAGCTGCTAACTTTGAAAGATGCATTGGAGTTTGGGTAACGGGCATGAGGGCTACATATTAAAAATTGGAAGGGGCAAAAAGAAAGATTAGGGGGCCTTGGCTTGTGAATGGTTTCAATTAGGTTCAGCAGTGGTGTGCTGAGAAACGCAGAAAATTTTTAAAAACCAAATAAACCATTCACAGCTAAGGATATGTTAAAGAAAGACACGTACCCAGGGTAAAGTATTGGCAAATAAATATTCTGGGAATAAATAAGTAAGCGGAGAGAGGTGTGGGCTTATCTCACCCTCCAGTCTTGGCATTGAACAAAGGCTATTTTAAAATAAAAATGGGAAGGTGATATTTATACTGTATTTAATATTTCATGGGTTTTCAATAACAAAGAGGGAGTCTTCCATCACAACTAAACAGTATTTGCAAATATTTTTAAGGACCGTTGGCAACTAGCAATGAATAGGCAAATAATAGAAATCTCAGGTGCAGACAGAGAGGGGAAATGACAATGTTTTGACTGCCTCCATCTATGATGTGCTTGCCCTCCATTGCAAGGGGGCAGGGGGAATGGCAAATGACTCTTGAGGCTGTTCCTGAGGTCTAGCAGCGTGAAAGCACCTTTGGCCCAAGGGATTACAGGTGGACAACTCAGTCTATTTGTGGGCTGTGTCAGTTTCACATCTCTTCAGCCACAAGGCTGTACTGCTTCTGCATCAAACTATGATTTTAAAAATGCAAAAGAAATGCATTATATTTTCACATATTGTTTTACAAAATCAGCTTTTTAGGCATTTCATCTCAAAATATGCATGGTAATCTTAAGAAAAAACATTTCTACTGGAACTGGCATTCAGAAGCATACTGAACCCTTTGATAGTGGAGATAGAATACAGTCATCAGGGTTAGTAGCCATAAATAGTTTCATACAAGTTTCAAAGTAGACTCATAGAAATGGATGAACCTAAGCTAGTCATGGCCATAAATTTCAATGGGTCAAATCTGAATAGGAATAGCATTGGATACAACCCAGTATTAAAATCAGGTAAATGTCCAAGTGCATAGGCACTTGGAATGTATAACAATGTAAGATTGGAACAGAATGGGATGTGCAGAAATGCGCTCCAAAAAACCTCCACTTTTATTTGTTGGTTGCAGATCTGGAGCAAACGGACAGGGCTAACCAGTGGTAGTAGGAAGGCAGGGCTTGCTATTAAAAGTGGTAGCTTTTACTGCCGTTAAGCTGGTAGCCTGGCCACCAGTTTTGTATCCTCTGGAATGCTTCTTCTGGGGCCTTGTGGTGAGTTGATTGTTTTGCAATGTGATCATAGCTTGGTTAGAGGTCTGTAGTTGTTCTCTGATTCACTTGTCTCAGATGTTTCCTCCATAGTGACTTTTCAGCTGTAATTTTTAAGAGAGAGAGAGAGAGAGTCCCAAGCAAAACAAATTCCCAGATAGTTTTCAAGGAAGGAAGCTATAAATAGTTCCCGTAATGGGAGGCTGTAATCTGATACGATTTATTTCCACCTCTGATGGGCTGACCTTCATCCCCACTCCAGGCTGTGCTTGTCATGAAATATGGCCAATCCATTCGGTAGTGGAAATAAATTGTATCTCCAACACTGAACACTGTGCATCCTCTGCATAATATGTACAGGGATGGACAGAGGCTGTCCTGAAAAGAGGGTTCACACTTCCCCTCCCTCCGTACACACACACACACACACACACAGTCGTACATCCTAGTGACTTTTCACCTCATCTGCACTCTTCATTTAAACAGTCATAGCTTCTCTCAAAGAATCCTGGGAGCTATAGTTCATTCAGTGACCTGATTGTCACTAGGAGACCCCTAAGCTATCTACAGAGTTACAATTTCCTCAGCAGGTTAACTATCAGTCTTTCTTCACAGGAAACTGGTGTTCTGGAGGGCCTCATGTTGCCTCCAGGCCTGAGGTTTCCCCTGCCACCATTATAGCCCCTCAGGCGGATACTTCTTTTTTTCATTCCCATGGCAGCCATTTTGTGCTGGCACCCACAGCACTTTTACCAGCATGTGAGTACAGGCAACATATTAAAGGAAACATATTTAACTGTGGCACATCATTTTCAGAATAGACATGTAGGGGGGACCTGACAAGATTTTCCTGGGAAGAGGGATTGATTGTTAAACACTCTGGGAATGGTAGGGAGGGAAATAGGGGTCTTCTAAAAACTCTCAGCATCCTTAACAAACTACAGTTCCCAGGATGCTTATGGGGAAGCCATGCTAGTTTAAGGCGCTGTGGTACTGCTTTAAATGCACGGTGCAGGTGCAGCGGAAATCAAGCATAAGTTGCACACTTAGTCACCTTTTCCCTATTATTGTTAGTTATTAAATTTGTATACTGCCCTTCAGCCATAGATCTCAGGGCAACATAAAATTACAAAACAAAAAAACCCAAATTGAATAATAAAAACAAAAACAAAACAAATAATCTCCCTCCCCCCCACAAAACATTTAATTAGGTGTTGGATGTCATTCAGCCAAAGGCCTGGTTTAAGAAGAATGTTATCATCTGGCATCAAAAGGTGTATAACAAAAGCGCCAGGTAAATCTCCCTGGGGAGAGGATTCCACAAATGGAGCCACCAAAGAAAAGGCCAATTCTCGCATTGCCACTCTCTGAAACTCCCATGGCACACAAAGAAGGGCCTCAGGTGAGGATCAAAGGGTCTGGGTAGGCTCATATGGAGAGAGGTGGTTCTTAGCCAGCTTTTCCTCCTCAGGAAGTTCTCCTGAACATTCTGGTTGCCCTTTTCAGCACATTTTCTTAGCTCTCCATTATGGATGAATGAAACTGTCAATTTCAGTTTCTTACATTTTCTCATTTTAAAAGAATTCTTAAGTTTGGTTCTCTACATTTCTGCCTTTCTTTTAATCCCTCATGAAATTTCACCAGCATTTTAGTGCAAATTTCTCCTTACATATTTTTGCATAGAGTTTGTTTTTATATATACATTCTTGCATATGTTTTGTCTCTGCTTCTCTGATGGTTGTCCTGGCAGGAGTTTAGATTTGCTTCCAATTTGTGATTACAGGTATTTCTATTATTCCTATGTTTTGTAATGGCTGGGGTGCCACAGACAAATCACTCTGAAGTTACCACATTTTTGCAGAGCAACTTCCTCTAATGCAATGCAGTTTATATGTTTTTTTCACCAAAATATGTATTTTTGCCCGAGTATATGCTTGAGAACTGCATTGCAACATTAGGAAAAGTGCATATTTCAAAGGCTGGCTTTGTTTCAGGTCCTATATCATTTTAGAAAGTGCAATTTACGTAGATTTGCCCTTCAATGCAAACTGAATTTCTCCTATTATCCTTCCTTTTAGTAGCTATTCTGAGGTAGACTGACCAGGCATCTATAGTTATAATAATGTACATGTTGCTCCTTTCAAAGGACTAACTTAGAAACAGTTATACAAACATAATTGGCTGTTCAAGTCAAAAGACAAGTGAGTCATTAGCTTCAATGTTTGTTGATTCCCCCCTCCTGCACATTTGCAAAGTTTCAGAATGCAGAAAACAGCTGTCTCTTCAAACCTCTTCAATTTGTACAGAAAGAAAGTTGGACAGAAATATGTTTTATTGTTATTCCTGT